TTATTTTAAAAAATAAATTAATAAAATTATAATTAAATTAATGATAATAACCTCAACCTTATAGAGTTATCGTATAATACTAAGTTAGTTATCACGTTACATTATAATTGATATTTGGTGATGCAGTACGTGATATTATCCGGAAGGGACAATCGCTCCTCGCACGGCCACATCACCTTGCTTTTGAAAGATTGAACGGGAACGATTAAAAAAAAGTTAAATGCTAAATTTGGTCCCTCAACTTTAGTGAGTTGCACATTTTTTATCCCTCAACACTAGGATTAATCACATTATTTATCTGAGTTAACCATCCATTTGAGTTTAAGGGAAGCTTCCTCTGCTTAATTTCTCCATAAATTGAGGGCTGTAGGACATTGATTGGACCAAGGACTGATTTTGTAGAAGAAATCGAGGCTGCTTGCACCACTTGAAACAATTTAGGACCGATTAACTTTCTCAGCAAGATTCCGAGAGAAAGGGACAGATAACAATTCCCCAGGTAGAAATCCCCATAAGATGAATCCAAAAGGAGATTAAGAGGAAATTAGAAATACCCACGGGAAATCGAAGAAGAAATCGAAAAGTAAATTGAAGGAGGAAATTGTTTGAGACGAGGCACTGGTGGGGTAGTCAGGAAGTGAAAGAAAGGAATGAGGAGACACGGTATGTTATTCAGGTCCAACTCAAAACAGGCGCTATGTTATTCAACTTGGGTGGCCCAAAAGGTCGAGAGAGACACGGTAAGGATGTTGATTTCACCCCTCCGATAATTAAGAGCTAGGGTGTCGAGAGACTCCCTAGATAACTGTTGTCAAATATTGGGGAAGAAGAATATATTCCCAGAATCCTCAGTGGGGAGGATTCCAGAGAAGATTAAGAGTTGAAATATATTTTTTAAAAATTTATTTTATGTGTGTTGGAAACTGATTGACTGGTTTATTTATTTGATTCTTCATGTGTTTGCCTTTTTTATTGATACATCTTCATGTATTTGCTTTTGTTGCTGAATCAGTTTGATGATGATTTATCAGGTGCTTGAAGATAGTGTTCTAGATGGTGTCTATATTTCAACTCCCATATATTATGCCTACCCAACTGAAGTCCTGTGGCATGAAAGATCTTAGATAAATGCAGGGGTTAGCTTTTACATTGTTGGTAGAGACCCTGCTAGTATGGGCCATTAACTCGAGAAAACAGATTCACATTATGCTTGATCATGGAACAACGTATGTATTAAGCTCAGTTCTGGGACTTAAATGACTAAATATTCTTCCTTTCAAGGTACACACAGTATTTAGGATTTAGTGTGTTCACTGAAACTAGAGCATTACTCTGTCACATAAATATGTGAAATCGTTGATCCTTGTCAATTGATTTTTATTCAGGTTGCTGCATTTGATAAGAATAAGGGTCACTGACATTATTTAATTCAACAAAGGATTCAAAACTTCTTCATATTGGGCACCAAGGTACCTTCTCCACATACTCCTGAGATTCATGTTGCTTCAATGGTTGGAAAGTGCTTATCGAATGTTACAATAATAACTTATTAATCTTTGCAGCATGTTGCATATTGACTTTTGATAATGCTTTTGATTACATTCAAGCAAAAATTAAACATGTTGAGCTATTCATGGCAAAAGAATCAAGTTATTTTATTATATGTTTCCTATATTCAAATAGAATTAATGGAGAAAACTGCGAATCCAATTACAGAATATCTATGTAGAAATTTAAAGAATAAATAATTATAGCCTATACGAACGGAAAGGAGAAATCTGAAACAAATCATACGATATGCAAGTAAATATTTACAGAATGGATGAATTTGTGAAGCATTATGCGCGCTTCTTCCATTTGAGATAGCTGAAAATAGGTCTCTTTGGCACCGGTATGCACTTGACGATCCAGCCAATGGGCCAAGAGACAGCAGCCATGGCGATGCAGGCGCCCCATTGTCCCCAATTCAACCTCTCTGTACCTGCAAACCGCTTTAGAAACTCCACCATCAGCACTTGAAGAACAATGGTCATCCCGACTATCCCTAAAAACAGCTTGTTCTTATGAATACCCTTGAACACATTCTTCTTCTCCAGCTTCCTTGCGTTGAATTCATTGAAAACTTGGCAGAGCACAAAAGTGTTGAAGATCAAGGTGTCATTCACTGCTTCAGTCACATTGAAGATTGACTCTCCTCTGAATTGCAGGATCAGGAGTATTGCAACCTGGTAAAAAGCTTGAGCTAGGAGGTTCCTCCACATGATATTGGTAATCAGTGGCTCTGTGCGGCCAACAGGTGGCTTCTTCATCAACTCCTTGGTGGGCTTCTCTGTAGCCAGAGCCAGTGCACCCAATGTGTCCATGATCAAGTTGACCCACAAATGCTGAACGACCGTTAAAGGAACTTCTCCTGCACAAATGGCTGCCACGACGTTGATCACCAGAGCAGCAACATTTACTGTCAACTGGAATTGAAGGAATTTCTGTATGTTGGTGTAAACACATCTGCCCCACTTCAGAACGGTGGCTACGGAAGCAAATTTGTCATCCAAGATGACAATATCGGAGCTCTCTTTCGCAACTTCTGTCCCTTGAATCCCCATTGACAATCCAATGTCAGCTTCTTTGAGTGCTGGAGCATCATTGGTACCATCTCCAGTGACTGCAACTACATGCCCTTTCCGTTTCAAGCATTGCACCATGAGAAGTTTGTCAAAAGGAGACGATCTTGCCATAACGCAAATCTTCTCCACCTTCTCCATCCTCTCTTCTGGTGTATAGCTCCGGAATTCCTCGCCTTCCACAACAGCTCCACTATCCATGTCCTGACCAGGCCGAAGGATCCCACATTCAGCGGCAATAGCTCTTGCTGTGAAGACATTGTCGCCAGTAATCATTTTAATGTTCACTCCAGCATACTGGCAATCCTCCACCGCCTTCTTCACCCCTGGCCGACATGGATCCTTGACACCTACAAGTCCCAACAAGGTCAAGTTTTCCTCTTTCAGCTTTTTCTTCTCTTTCACATTTTCTTCCTCTATTTCCGCAACTTGTTTGTGACAGAAAGCAATGCACCGGAGGCTGCTTGCCGCCATTCCCTGAATAATTTTCTTGAATTCCATCCTTTCTTCTCCATTAAGATCTTTCATAACTCCTGAAGCATCATAGTAGCTTGAGCACATAGCCAGAATCATTTCTGCTGCTCCTTTCCAATGAACGTGAACTGTGTTATCTTCTTTCTCCTTGATCAGAACTCCGCTCCGTTTCTTCTCAGAATTGAAAGCTTCCACAAAGAGAATTGTGAAATTCCTCTTTATTTCCTCCTGATCCATCTTCATGTCTAGAACAGCCCAAGAAAGAATTGCTTTTTCCGTTGGACTACCAGAGAATTCGAATTCCGACTCTGACGAACCTCTGTAAACACTACCGGTTGTATTCAGAGCAACTCCTTGACGAATCAAGCTAACAACAAATGGAGAAATGGAAGGAGAAGTTCCATCAATGGCTTTCTTTCCCTGCCAAAACTTTGTCACCTTCATCTGATTAAGTGTAAGAGTACCTGTTTTGTCAGTGCAAATTGTGGTGGTAAACCCCATAGTTTCACAAGCGGAAAGCTTTCGGACCATCACCTGATCCGCCATCATTTTCTTCATTGAATAAGCCAAAGTCAGTGTAACAGCCAATGGCAACCCTTTTGGGATAGCAACAACGACGATGGTAACAGCAGAAGCAACTATTCCCACTACAGCATTTATTATATGATCGGCTTTTGTGCTGCTTCCATTAAACGCTGTATTTCCATTCTCATCTGTAGTCTGTCCGGTCAAGTAACGAACCAACAACACTACAAGAATCAAGAAAGCCACTGCCAAGCCGACCTTACCTATTGCCGATGTTAGCTTGTTTAGTCGGACTTGCAGTGGCTGCTGCTCGTTTTTGTCGCCGTTCACATGGCTCGTCATCTGGCCCCAAGTGGTGTTCATTCCAACGGCAGTTACAAGCATCTGGGCATACCCATCAACCAACTTGGTACCAGAAATCAAGAACGGGTTTTCATTTGAATTCACCACAACAGGGTCGCTCTCCCCTGTCATGCTGGATTCGTCCATCTGCAGAGAATGTCCGTCCAAGAACAACCCATCAGCTGGAACCTGATCCCCAATTTTTAGCCAAACAATATCTCCGACCACGATATCAAATATTGAGATCTGTTGCCGCCTGCCGCCTCTGATGACCTCAATTTGGATGTTGTTGTTGTCTTTAGACAATTTGTCGAACTGTCTGTTCTGTCCGTAGTTGCTGATGGTAGAGACGCTAATGACCAGAAAAACAACCACGAAAATACTCCCACCATCATACCAACCGTCTTTCAAGCCATGCTCCTTGACGCCAAAACCAAGAGAAAGTGCGGCGCTTAGGATCAAAATTATGCGATCCTTGAAAGCTTCCACCACAAAATGGAAGAAACTCTTAGATGGCGGTCTTTTGTAGGTGTTAGAACCAAATGCTTTACGTCGGCAAGCAATGTCCTCAGCACCGCCTTTGATTCCACTATCCATGCTGGTTTGAAGGGAAGAAGCCACCCCATTCACTCCGCCAATTATGTGAAGCTTCCCAAGCTTTTTCTCTTTCACAATGTCAGTGAGAGTGGTCTCATCAATTTTGAAACAACCATTTTCTGGTGGAATTGGTAGACTGATATGATCAGGAATGGGCGAAACCGTGGAATTAGGAATCTTGACGAGAGAAAACAGAGTTTTTGAACAGTAGATGGTGACAAAAGCCAAACGCCATTTTTTTCTGTATTTGTTGAGGGAGGCAGGCCGACCATCGAGCAAATGGTCAGTGCAGATTATGTGTGCTTTGTTCAGAATAGCAGTCATGAATATAGATAAGCAAAGAACAAGAATAATATATTTAAGTATGACCAGAGAAGGAAGAAAATCTTTTTGCAAAACAAAGAGCAAAAAGCAAATAACAACAGAGTATGAAGCTG